AAACCGATCAGGGTTTGATAAAAATTAAAAGTTACAACAGGGTAGAATGAGATATACAAAATTTCGGTATCTAAACCGATCAGGGTTTATAAAAAATAAAAGTTACAACAGGGTAGAATGAGATATACAAAATTTCGGTGTCTAAACCGATCAGGGTTTGATATAAAATAAAAGTTACAACAGGGTAGAATGAGATATACAATTTTTTGTTCAGGGTGTGATAAAAATTAAAAGTTACAACAGGGTAGAATCAGATATACAAAATTTCGGTATCTAAACCGATCAGGGTTTGATAAAAATAAAGGTTACAACAGGGTAGAATGAGATATACAAAATTTCGGTATCTAAACCGATCAGGGTTTGATAAAAAATAAAAGTTACAACAGGGTAGAATGAGATATACAATTTTTTGTTCAGGGTGTGATAAAAAATAAAAGTTACAACAGGGTAGAATGAGATATACAAAATTTCGGTATCTAAACCGATCAGGGTTTGATAAAAAATAAAAGTTACAACAGGGTAGAATGAGATATACAAAATTTCGGTGTGTAAACCGATCAGGGTTTGATAAAAAATAAAAGTTACAACAGGGTAGACTGAGATATACAAAATTTCGGTATCTAAACCGAACAGGGTTTGATAAAAAATAAAAGTTACAACAGGGTAGACTGAGATATACAAAATTTCGGTATTGAAACCGATCAGGGTTTGATAAAATATAAATGTTACAACAGGGTAGACTGAGATATACAAAATTTCGGTATCTAAACCGATCAGGGTTTTATAAAAAATAAATGTTACAACAGGGTAGAATGAGATATACAAAATTTCGGTATCTAAACCGATCAGGGTTTGATAAAAAATAAAAGTTACAACAGGGTAGAATGAGATATACAAAATTTCGGTGTCTAAACCGATCAGGGTTTGATAAAAAATAAAAGTTACAACAGGGCAGAATGAGATATACAAAATTTCGGTGTCTAAACCGATCAGGGTTTGATAAAAAATAAAAGTTACAACAGGGTAGAATGAGATATACAATTTTTTGTTCAGGGTGTGATAAAAAATAAAAGTTACAACAGGGTAGAATGAGATATACAAAATTTCGGTGTCTAAACCGATCAGGGTTTGATATAAAATAAAAGTTACAACAGGGTAGAATGAGATATACAAAATTTCGGTATCTAAACCGATCAGGGTTTGATAAAAAATAAAAGTTACAACAGGGTAGAATGAGATATACAATTTTTTGTTCAGGGTGTGATAAAAATAAAAGTTACAACAGGGTAGAATGAGATATACAAAATTTCGGTATCTAAACCGATCAGGGTTTGATAAAAATTAAAAGTTACAACAGGGTAGAATGAGATATACAAAATTTCGGTATCTAAACCGATCAGGGTTTGATAAAAAATAAAAGTTACAACAGGGTAGAATGAGATATACAATTTTTTGTTCAGGGTGTGATAAAAAGTAAAAGTTAGTCTTGATCATTAAAAATTCTAATTGGAAAGAATCCTAGTAAAAAATGTCGTATCGATGGTGATAAGCAAGTGATAAAAATTGTGCAGGAATAAAAAATGCTAAAAAAATGTTGCACAAATAAAAGAAATTAAATGAAAAACAAAGCCACTAACCTTTTGAAGATCTCTCAGCAACGACGACAAATTTAAATACATATATATAGGAAATTGCAAGCACACATAATATAACATAAATAAATCATCAATCAATTATAATATATGAAATGAACACATTGCTTATCACCGCATCCGCATAAATATCATTATGGGCTATGAAAATTATTTATTTTTTTGAGTAAAAAAAATAATATAATTCCCATAAGTTGAAAATAAAAGAAATCCTACCTTTGCAGCATCTTCGCCCATTTATCTCTCTGCAATATTATAAATATCTGCAAATTCTGTATCTGCAACTCTCTGCAAACTGAAGTGATGTGGGCTCGAAGTGATAAGATCATATCAAAATCTGAAAATAATGAAAAATACAACGATAGATTTGTTTCAAAACGTTTAAAAATAACTATTCATTAAGTCATTAGAATTTTATATTATTTTTAAGTCATATACAATAATAAGTCTATGATGGAATTATGTCATATTTTAATAAAATATATATAAAAATGATATGAAATAATTTCATTACATATTTATTATTTTATATAACTTGAAATTAATATAAAAAAATTATAAATGTGTATAATTATTGAATAAATAATAATTGTAAATATTTAAATATAAAGCAGAAGTACTGGTTTGAACATAAACTGAAATTAGCAACGGCCGCCATCTTGTTTTGCAAAAGCGCCGCTAGATGGCTTGTCAATAGTTTGCGAAAAAGTTGCAAATAATAAATAATAATAAAATGCAATTTGATGAAAATGAATTCAATTTGTTTAATGAAAATGATTTATATTGGACTTATCGTTTGCGTATACGATTGTAATGTTAAAAAGACGATTCAAACTTTGGTCAATTGACAGCTGAGGCGCCGTCATGACCGAAGAATTTGTCGTTGCTTTTTTGAACAAAAAAAACTTTACAAGCACAATTTTTGAATGTAAATGAATTTATTACATCAAAGTTCATTGAATTTTCATCAATAATAGGTTGTGCAAACGGTTATATTGCTTAAATCAGGCAAAAACCACCGGTTGTTGTTATGGGCGCCATCTTGGATTTTTGAAAAGCAGCAAAATTTAAATTGCGAAAAATTGCAAAAATCTCAATAAATATAGAGGAAAAGTGCAAGAATATTAAATAATATGTAATAAATTTATAATAAATCAACAATTAAGCACGCCCAAGACATTTTTACAGATATAAACATTGTTTGCATATCTGTACCAAAGGGCGTCCGTTGTTGTGCTAATAACAGTCAAAAATATTATGGCCCACATCTTAGATTTTCCATAATATTAAATATTATGTAGTAAATTTATAATAACTCAACAATTAAACACGCCTAAGACATTTTTACAGATGTAAACACAGTTTACATATCAGTACCAAACGGCGCAAATTGTTGTGCTAATAACTGTCAATAATATTATGGCCGCCATCTTGAATTTTTCAAAAGTAACAAAATTTAAATTGCAAAAAAACGTAAAAATTTCAATAAATATTAAGTAAAAGTGCCATAATATTTAATAACATGTAATAAATTTATAATAAAACAACAATTAAGCACGCCTAAGACATTTTTACAGATGTAAAGACTGTTTACATATCTGTACCAAACGACGTCAATTGTTGTGCTAATAAAACATAAAAATTGTGCAAAATAATGATAAATAAATGCTCTTACCTTTTATAAGTATATACTGCATACCGGAACACACTTAAAAAACACTACTTGGTTTCAAAATAATAATATTTACTATTCACTTTGATCACTTGCACTGCACCACTGCGCGAGATGTTTACTGTTCGAGAGCTGACGCGCTAATGAGCCGCCCGCTGATTAGCACCCCTTTATATAGGCAGGTTGGAGGTATACTCGCGTAGTCAAAAGAGCCTCTGAGAGTAATCTTAACCCCGGTATCAAATGTAATAATTATTGGGTTTTAAATCAAATTTTATGGGTAAAACTTGTTAAAAAAAAACTAGTTAAAACACAATTACACACACTAATTAAGCACTATTCGCTGGGTAATTAAACATTGTTGGGTAATTAAACATTACAACAGCCAGTTGTATGAATTCAAAGGATCAAAACAATAACAAACAATTTGAAATAAATTCGTTAAAACTGCACAATGACACTAAGTGAAATTGATTAAAAAGCATTGTCCCTGGTACAATAAGTTTGCACAAATCTTTTGGAAACCGAATTCTACACATTTTTTGCAAATTTGAGTTTATATAAATATATAACCACAAAATTTTTGTTATTCTTTCAGTTTGAAACGTCAAAATTAAATTTATCTTATCTGAAAGCTGTGAAGTTAGCCAAAATAGTAAGTGTGGAAAACATCAAAGATAAATAAACTTATATGGAAAACATATCGTTCGTCATTGTTCGTTTGTATCAAAATCGCAGGTATTTCAATAAATACGTTAGGATATAATAAATACCGATTAAAATGTAAGTATTAACTGTTAAAAAATTGTGTTAATAATATTTATATAAGCATTTGGAATATTTTTATAAATCTCTTCAGTCAAATGTCATGTCAGTTCAACCTCCATTTTTAGAAAAAATATAAAACCTATATTATAGAAATTTATACTTTAAATTTAAAAACCTAATTTTCAATACGTGTTAAACTCTTTTTTGTAATACAACTATAGAGGTTCTTCTCTATATCTTTGCATAATTTTTAATAATAAGATTCGATAAGAAATGTATGATTAAATTATGATTGTTTAGGTTAAAACCTAAACGGAGGATTTAAGAGAATATTTGGATTATTCTACTCATTCATGATATAATAACTTTGTCAAGAGGTAATTATCCTTTATATTTATTATAGGATTTATTGGTAATTTATGTTTAATGGTTACTTCTAGTTGATCTAGTTCTATTGGTTACTTCTCTTAAATCATAATATAACATAACAAGGATAACTACACAAAATGTATAATTAAATTATGATTGTTTAGGTTTTAATGGAGGATTTTTGAAAATATTTGGATTATTCTACTCATTCAGGCCATTATAGAGATGACATGGAAGAGCACACTTTAAAATGGATACTAAGTTCACGTAATAATTAAAATATATTTAAACAATTAAAGATAATTCTCTCATGAATTCATTGTTAAATCAGGAAATATATCTAAATAATCAGGAATTATACTCGGTTGTTAACCTTTTTCAATCATGTTGCACAGAATTTCAATTGGAAAACAAACAAAAATCTAGTCGAAGCTTATTAAACTCTTATATGCAATACAACTATAGGTTTCTCTATATCTTTGCATAATTCCTAATAATCAGAGTGGCGACACAGGGTGTATAATTAAATTATGATTGTTTAGGTTTTAATGGAGGATTTAAGAAAATATTTGGATTATTCTACTCATTCAGGACATTATAGAGATGAGATGGAAGAGTGCACTGAAAATGGATACTAAGTTCACTCAAAGATGATTAAAATATATTCCAACAATTAAAGATAATTCATTCAAGGAGATATATCATAAGAGGTAATTATTCCTAATTGTTAACCTATTTCAATAATGTTGCACAGAATTTTAGTTGAGAAATAAAAACAAATGGTCGAAGCTTATTAGACTCTTATATGCATTTCAACTATAGGTTGCTTTATATTTGCATAATTCTTAATAATAAAATTCGCTACACATAATGTATGATTAAATTATGATTGTTCAGGTTTTAATGGAGGGTTTATGAAAATATTTACTTAGTACATTATTGTTACAAAGAAAAGAGGTTTGCTTACAGATTATTGTTTGTTAAAGATAATTTGCTTAAGTTTATTATTACTCTGATAAAACTTGTCTTTTTCTTCAACTTGTAATTTATATTCGAGGTCAAAAATATGAATACGACATATATGTATAAAAGTTTTGCAAGGTGATGATAATTTATAAGAATGTTGGTGGTGTTTCTTACATATTCCTAATTATTTTGATTGTGATTTGGATTCAAAACTTCAAAACATAACCATCTTTTTGTGGAAATTCAAGAAATTATCTGTTCTTAATTTATTATATGAATTAAGAAAAAAGTTGGAAGTTTTTATATTTATTTTTTTAATTTACTACATTAGCTTCATTGAAAAATTTTCTTCATATACATAATTTGTTGTATTATTTATTTATTTACAACACCGTTGGTCTTTCTTGTGTTTTTAGGAAAATTTGACTTTCTTTCAATCATAACTAACCGGTGCACATTTGAAAAATGTGAAATTCAACTTATAAATAGTTAATTTTGGAAAAAAACAACTATCAATGTTACTAACTAAATAAAACAACCTATAAATAATTGATTGATTTTTAATATAAATCTGAAAACTGAATACAAATATAGTTATTTTGTAATTGTTACTTAAAGATAAACAAATATAACAAGAAAGTTTAAATCAAAATAGAGTAAGAGTGTATTTATAAATAGCCCTTTGAGGAATTGATTTATTTTGTGTCCTGCTCATGAAAGCGCTTATTGTGTTGGATCAGACTACATTTTTTATGTACTTATTACATGTCTAACATTTATAGTGTTCCTTCTTCAGTATGTGACCGCATATGCTTTTTCAAATTACCTTTTAATGTGTATGCTTTATTACATATTCCACAATTATATGGACGCTCTTCAGAATGAATAGGCATGTGTGCTTTTAAAGAGCTTAATACCACGAATGTTTTCTTGCATATTTGGCATTCATAAGCTCTCTTAAAATGACTAAGCATGTGTTTTTTTCAAACTGGTTGGGAATCTATATGTTTTATGACATCTTTCACATTCATATGGATATATTCCTGTATGAGTATATGAATGCGCTTTCAGATTTGTACTTGATATAAATCCTTTATTGCATATTTCACATTTGTATGGACGTTCTCCTGTATGAAGACGCAAATGACGTACCAAAACAGTTGATGTTGAACATACCTTATTGCATATTTCGCATATGTGAGAACCATTTCCAATATGAGCACGTTTTTTATCAGATTCATTCAAGTTTGAATGTTTTTTTAAGGTAACACAAACGTGTAAATCTAATAAATACTTTGTAATAAATGCTTTATTGCATATTGAGCATTCAAACAGTTTTTCGCCCTCATCATCTAATTCCTGTTTGATTTCTTCATCAATAGTTACTTCAGAATTCATAAATCTTTGTAAACACGTTTTGCCGTCTTCAGAACAGGACTCAGATTTAACATTGTCATCAAGTTCATCCTCATTTTCTCGTTTAACGTCTTCTATAGAAAAATCTAGTGGTTCAATTTTAATTTTAGGGTTATTCTTAGAAACACTTGTTGCATCAGACATTTGTAGTGCTTCATAAGGCTGTTCTCTAGTATGATTCCGCATATGATTTTTAAAACCTACTGATGAAATATATACTTTATTACATATTTCACATTTATATGTATCCTTTTTGGAATGACCAATTATGTGTGTTTTCAAATTGCCTAATACTGTGTATGTTTTCTTGCATATTTGGCATTCATAAGGACGTTCGCCAGTGTGTTGTCGCATATGTCTTTTTACAAGACTTGGTAAATTGAACGTTTTATTACATATTTCACATTTATATGGACGTATTCCTGTATGAGTATACGAATGCACCCTCAGATTTCTACTTGATATAAATCCTTTATTGCATATTTCACATTTGTATGGACGTTCTCCTGTATGAAGACGCAAATGATGTACCAAACTATTTGATGATGAACATACCTTATTGCATATTTCGCATATGTGAGAACCATTTCCAATATGAGCACGTTTTTTATCAGATTCATTCAAGTTTGAATGTTTTTCTAAGGTATCACAAACGTGTAAATCTAATAAATACTTTGTAATAAATGCTTTATTGCATATTGAGCATTCAAACAGTTTTTCGCCCTCGTCATCTAATTCCTGTTTGACTTCTTCATCAATAGTTACTTCAGAATTCATAAATCTTTGTAAACACGTTTTGTCGTCTTCAGAAGGGGATTCAGACTTAACAATACCATCAATACTATCAAATTCATCCTCATTTTCTCGGTTGACGTCTTCTGTAGAAAAATCTGGTGGTTCAATTTTAATTGTAGGGTTATTCCTAGAAACACTTGTTGCATCAGACATGTTTAGTGCTTTAAATCACCAAATATTTATAATATCTAATAATCTACTGTAATAAATGATGTTCTTAAATATAATAATGATTCATAATCGATTCTTGGAAATGACATCATTCTTTGTTATTTTTTTGACGTTTGAGTTGACAGTTGAAGCCAAAGCGTAGAGTATGTTTTTCGAAGAGACTAGACGCTTATCGTCTTTTTAAGTTCATAACAATTCTCTATGTCCACACGAAACGACTTTGTGTAAATTTAAAAAAGAGTGCGCGTAAGGTTCACACGCGATTGAAGTAAAACTTATTTGCTACTGTACAAGATGGCATTTAAGTAAAAATAAATACATCATATAATATATAGCCCAGACAAATATTGTTTTCGAAACTTCACTCATCATGTAATAATTGTGTTTGAAGAGCTTCATGTAATTACAATTAACATACATTCATTGACTGCTTGTATTTTTTTTACTTTTTCGCTGGCGATATAATCTCATTTTTTGAACATCTGTAATGTCTGTCTTGCTTAAAGTATATTTTCCATTTTAACAACTTCAAAGATTTATAGAAACTACGAATAATAATTTCTAATCAATAAACTTACGTTTGTACACGGCGTAAATCTTTGATTTGTATTATTATTTTCAAGGGACAGGGTTCTGAATTCTTCTGATTCAGGCATTTTTCATTAAATAAAAATTTGTACGTTTTAATGCAAAAAAATGTTTATTTATCTATGCCGACCGATATCGGTACGCATACAACGTTGATGCTGGTACCCCCTAAAGAAGTTTTACTTCAAAAACAATATTTATTCTAGATAATTTATTCATATATTTATTATTACATTTAAATTGAATTTAACAAGTATGTTTATATTTCTTCTCAGCTATGAATGCGCTGCTTGTGTGTTTTCAAAGAAATCAATTGTGTGAATGATTTTTCACATAATTCACATTTATGTGGACGCTCCCCAGAATGAATAAGCATGTGCGCCTTCAGATTACCTGATTGTGTGAATGTCTTATTGCATATTTCACATTTATAAGACTTTTCTCCAGTATGAATTTTCATATGAAGTTTTAAATTATGTGATGTACGGGATGCTTTATTGCATATTTCACACTTGAATGGACGCTCTTCAGAATGAATAATCATGTGCGTTCTTAAATTACTTGATTGTGTGAATGTTTTGTTGCACATTCGGCATTTATAGGGTCTTTCTCCGGTATGTGTTTGCATATGTAATTCCAAACTAGTTGATGTTTGGAATCCATTATTACATATTTCACTGTGATGCTATGTGGAATGAATAAGCATGTGTGTTTTCAAACTACCTATTTGTGTGAATGTTTTATCGCATGTTTCACATTTATAAGGTCTTTCTCCAGTATGTGTTCGCATATGACGTTTTAAATTACTCGATGTTTTGAATGCTTTATTACATATTTCACATTTACAAGGATATACTTCAGAATGAATAACCATGTGATTTTTCAAGGCACCTAATTGTGCAAATGTTTTATTGCATATCGGGCACTCAAAAGGGCGTTCGCCAGTATGTGTTCGCACATGAAGTTTTAAACTAGTCGGTGAAGGAAATGCTTTATTACATATTTTACATTCATGTGAACTCTCACCGGAATGACTTATCATGTGCGTTTTCAAGCTACCTATTTGTGTGAATGTTTTATTGCATATTTCACATTCGTATGGACGTTCTCCTGTATGAGTACGCGTATGCTGTTTTAATCCACTTGATGTTGGGAATAGTTTATTACATGTTGTACATTTATAAGAAAACTCTCCGGAATGGATAACCATGTGTCTTTTGATACTGCTTAATTGTGCAAATGTTTTATTGCATATTTGGCATTCATAAGGACGTTCTCCTGTGTGTGTTCGCATATGTTCTTTTAAACGACTTGATGAATAGAATGCGTTATTGCATATTTCACAATTAAATGGACGCTCTCCAGAATGCATAAGCATGTGCACTTTTAGATTACATAATTGTGTGAATTTTTTGTTACATATTTCGCATTCATGGGAGTATTCTCCAGTATGACTTAGAATGTGACATTTTAAACTAGTTAATGAATTGAATCCGTTATTACATATTTCACATTTATATGGACGCTCTTCAGAGTGGATAAACTTGTGTATTTTTAGCTTACTTGATTGTGTGAATGTCCTATTGCATATTTCACATTTAAATGGACGATCTCCTGTGTGAGTACGCATATGCTTTTTCATGTTATCTGATGATGTAAATGCCTTATTGCATATTTCACATTTGTATGGACGTTCTCCTGTATGGATACGCATATGCTTATTCATATTACTCGATGTTCCAAATACCTTATCGCATATTCTACATTTGTAACAACCCTTACCAGTATGAGCATGAGCATGTCCATTAACAGATTCATTCACCTTCAAAAGTTTTTCTTTGGTATTATCAAGATCTAATTCCTGTTTAACTTCTTCATCAATCGTTACTTCAGAATTCATAAATCTTTGTAAACATTTTTTATCGACTTCAGGTTTATTAATACCATCAAATTCATCATCATTTTCTCGTTTAACGTCTTCTATAGAAAAATCTAGTGGTTCAATTTTCATTTTAGGATCTTTCGTGGAAACACTTGTTGCATCTGACATGTTCACTTCTTTTATTTAATAAATATTGATGAAAATGGATTCGTATTATTTAATAACCTATTTTAATTAATAATCTTTTTAAATATGATACTGGTTTAAATATTTTTTACATTAATTCTTAAAAATGAAATTATTCTTTGTTATCTTTGTTTACATTTGATTTGACAGTTGACAGCTGATAGCGAAACCACAGAATGTTTTTGGAGAAGACTAGACATCTTTTTAAATTCATAAAAATCAAAAAACTCAAAGCAAATTACTGGAACTTCCCGTACCGTAATTAAAAATCTTGGTACGGAACCCAAAAAAATTTACACAAAATGTGTATGCATTATTAAAATCTCTATAAAATATCTGATAATTTGATGTACATATATGTCCAATAAACATATTTGGCCGTCAAATGACATTGTTTTAACTTATTTTTATTAAGAGTCCATAACCGCTGGACCTGCCTTCCCAAAAATTTAATCAATTCTTCATCTCGTTAATACAAGTAAAATGTTTTGTGAATAATTAAAATCGGACGCTTCGTTCTCTTAAAAAGTGAGTTACCGTTTTTGGCACTTTTTGCCCCATATCTCCGGAACGGCTAGACCTGCCTTCGTCAAAAACTACTCAGCACGTCCCCTTATCAATACGAATTGAATGTTTTTTGAATTATTCAAATCGGTTGATCGGTGTTCCCAAAATCGTCGACGAAAATTTATCTTTATCAATCAATGTAAGAATGATAACATTCTAGATCCTCCCTCCATGAAGTAATGCCTAACGGCGGTTTTCGTGGGAACAAGAGGCAAGAGCAAAGCGGCGGTTTTAGTCGGTATTGAACCAGAGCGGTATTGAGGTCCGACATACCCAGACAAAATACCTAGTCTGGGATGCGTAAAGGCATTTCCTTTGCTATAAAGTAAAAAAAACACAAAATTATCAATATACAAGATAAATTATAATTTTTGAAACAAATAATGTTTGTTGTAATTGTAAAGGTACATTTAGTTGAATTTGAAATTAGAAAATTTGCCTCAAATGTTTATTTTTGAAGAAAACAAGTATCAACGATACTAACTAAATAAATTGACCCTTAAATAAATAATAAACTAGTGGTGTATGACAACGTGCCTTAAGGCGAATTGCTGGAACTTCCCGTACCGTAACGAAATGTTCGAGAAGTAATAAATGTTTTCAAATAGATTATAAATAAATATTGTAACATTGTCTAATATTTATAAGAATTATATAAATTGAATTGCAAAGTTAAAATTATTCATTTAAAGTATAGTAAGCCTTAGAACTATAGCTAGAATAAATAATTTTGTTTCTTAAAGCAATTATTTTGTCAAGACAAGCAGAAAGTTTTTTGAATCATTCAAATCGGATCTCAAAACCTGCCATTTTTTCCACATTTAGCTTCGTATCTCCGAAACGGCTGGACCTGCCTTTGCCAAAAACTAATCAGCACGTCTCCCTATCAATAGGAATCAATTAGGTGATCCTATTAATAGGACCATCGGTTGACCCTTGCGTCTGAAAAAGTGGACGAAAAATTGTATTCATACATACACTCAAACTTTAATTTTTTCTAAGATATGCCAAAATGTTCAGAAACCTCTGAAACGTAAAGATATGCAAAAATTTTAAAAATCGATTTTTGGACGATTACAATTACTTACCCTGTGGAAAGTTAAAAATTATAAATATGAATAATAGACAACAAGATATTTTATTTATAAATATTACTTAAAAGTAAATAAATTTGTGATAATGTAACAAAGTTATTTATAGATCTTCTCTGCTATGAATTGCCTGCTTGTGTTTTTTCAGAACACCTGATTGCCTGAATGATTTTTCACAGAATTCACATTTAAACGGTCGCTCTCCTGAATGAATAAGCATATGCCTTTTTAAACTATTTGATTCTGTAAATGTCCTACTACATATTTCACATTTGTATGGACGTTCTTTTGTATGAGTGCGCATATGCTTTTTCAAGTTATCTGATGATGCAAATACCTCATTGCATATTTCACATTTGTCTGGGCATTCTCCTGTATGACTGAGCATGTGTTTTTTCAGAATACAAGATTGTGTGAATGATTTTTCACAGATTTCACACTTGAATGGACGTTCTCCGGAATGAAGAAACATATGCCTTTTTAAACTATTTGATTCTGTGAATGTCCTACTGCATATTTCACATTTGTATGGACGTTCCCCAGTATGTGTTTTCATATGATACTTTAAATTATCTGATGTTCGGGAAGCTTTATTACATATTTCACATTTAAACAGACGCTCTCCAGAATGAATAAACATGTGCTTTTTTAGATTACTTGATTCTGTGAACCCCCTGTTGCATATTTCACATTTAAATGGATAATCTCCTGTATGAATGTGCATGTGTTTTTTCAGATTACATGATTGTGCGAATTTTTTGTTGCATATTTCGCATTCATGGGAGTATTCTCCAGTATGACTTAGAATATGACGTTTTAATTTAGTTGTTGAATTGAATTTATTATAACATATTTCACACTTATATGGACGCACTGTGGAATGAATGTGCATGTGATTTTTTAAATTACTTGTTGTGTGAAATGCTCTACTACATATTTCACATTTATATGGACGCTCTCCGGTATGAAATACCTTGTGCGTTTCTAGATTATGTAAGAGAGCAAATCTCTTATTACATATTTCACATTTGTATGGACGCTCTATGGAATGAACAATCATGTGTGTTTTCAAACTACCTATTTGTGTGAATGTTTTATCGCATGTTTCACATTTATAGGGTCTTTCTCCAGTATGTGTTCGCATATGAATTTTCAAACTAGTTAATGTTTGGAATCCATTATTACATATTTCACATTTGTGAGAACGCTTTGTTTCATTATCAGGTTCATTCAAGCTTGAAGGTTTTTTTGAGGTATCACACAAGCGCAGAATTAATAGATACTTTGTATTAGGTGATTGATTGCATAACGAGCCTTCAACATCTAATTCCTGTTTGGTTTCTTCATCAATCTTTACTTCAGAGTTCATGAAATTTTCTATACACGTTTTGTCATCTTCAGAACAGGATTCAGATTTAACATTGTCATCAAGTTCATCCTCATTTTCTGTTTTAACTATATCTAGTGGTTCGATTTTTATATTATTCATAGAAGCACTCGTTGCATCAGACATGTTCACTACTTTAAGTAAATATATATTGATGAGAATGGATCCGTACTATTTAATAACCTAGCACTATTTAATAACTGATTTCAATCAATAATTATAAATTTAATATTTTTTCTTGGAAATTACCTCATTCTTTTGTTTGACATTTGAGTTGACAGTTGAAGAGCAGAGTATAGAGTGTGTATATAGAAAAGACTAAACTTTATATATAAAGTTTTGTTTTGTTTATAAATAAAGTTTGTTTATTTTGAAATGTTCAGATTAAATATTATGAATAACTTTATTGAATATATATACAACACATGCGTGTAACCGTTGAAAAATTCTTAACATAAATCTATAACAATTCCAGTCCTTATCTATGAACGAGTCCTTTGAATATTGAGAAAAGACTTTTTCACGTGTTTGTTTATAATCTCAAAAGTCGAAAATGTTTACATTATTATATATACAAAATATAATAACGAATTCATTTCTTCATATCATATTATGAAATTATGTTATTATATATGAAGTCTAGTCTTTTCCATAAAAACACTCTATGTTCTGGCTTAACGGCTTCAATTGTCAACTCAAATGTCAAACAAAAGTATGGTGTAATTTCCAATGAACAATTAAATCTTATCCAATTTAAAATTATTGATTAAAATCAGTTATTAAATAGTGCTACGTTATTAGATAGTTCTGATCCATTTTCATCAATATTTATTTACTCAAAGCAGTAAACATGTCTGTTGAAACGAGTGTTTCTGTGAATAATTTAAATATTAAAATCGAACCACTAGATATAGTTAAAATAGAAAATGAGGATAAATTTGATGATAATATCAAATCTGAATCCTGTTCTCAAGACGACAAAACTTGTTTAGAAAATTTCATGAATTCTGAAGTAACTATTGATGAAGAAGTCAAACAGGAATTAAATGTTGAAGGCTCGTTATGCAATCAATCACTTAATACAAAGTATCTATTAATTCTGCGCTTGTGTGATACCTCAAAAAAACCTTCAAGCTTGAATGAACCTGATAATGAAACAAAGCGTTCTCACAAATGTGAAATATGTAATAAGGTATTTGGATCATCAAGTAATTTGAAAACTCATTTGCTTGTTCATACAGTAAAACGTCCGTACCAATGTGAAATATGTAATAATAGATTCAAAACATCAACTAATTTGAAACTTCATATGCGAACACATACCGAAGAAGGGCCTTATAAATGTGAAACATGTGATAAAACATTCACACATATAGGTACTTTGAGAACACACATGATTGTTCATTCCACAGACCGTCCATTTAAATGTGAAATATGTAATAAGGGATTTAACTACTTACATAATCTACAAAAGCACAAGGTATTGCATACCGGAGAGCGTTCATATAAATGTGAAATATGTAGTAGAGCATTTTACACGACAAATGATTTAAAAAGACACATGCGTAATCATTCCACAGTGCGTCCATATAAGTGTGAAATATGTTATAAGAAATTCAATTCAACAACTAATTTAAAACTTCATATTCTAAGTCATACTGAAGAATATTCTCATGAATGCGAAATATGCAACAAAAAATTTGCACACTCATGTCGTCTGAAAAAACACATGTACATTCATACAGGAGATTTTCCATTTAAATGTGAAATATGCAAGAAGGGGTTTGCAGGAGCAAGTAATCTAAGAAAGCACATGTTTATTCATTCCGGAGAGCGTCTGTTTAAATGTGAAATATGTAATAAAGCATCCCAAACATCAGCTAGTTTGAAGAATCATATGAAAACACATATTGGGGAACGTCCATACAAATGTGGAATATGTAGTATGACATTCACAGAACGACATAATTTAAAAAGACATATGCTTATTCATTCCGGAGAGCGACCATTTAAATGTCAATTCTGTAAAAAATCATTCAGGCAATCAAGTGCTCTGAAAAAACACAAGGAGGCATTTCATAGCTGAGAAGATCTATAAATGTGAAATATTCGAAGGGATGAAAATAATTTGATTTTTAAACTACTTTGTTACATATATAAATAAAGTATTTTCTTATCTATTATTCATATTTATTATTTATTAACTTTCCACAGGGTAAGTAATTGTAATCGTCCCAAAATCGAAAATGAAAATTTTTGTAAATTTACGTTTCAGAGATTTCTGAACATTTTGGCATACCTTAGAAAAAATGGATGTTTGAGTGTATGTATGGATACAATTTTTCGTCCATGTTTTCGGGCGTACGAATCATCAACTGATTTGAGTGGTTTAAAAAACATTCATTCCTATTGATAGGAAGACGTGCCGATTAGTTTTTGGCAAAGGCAGGTCCGGCCGGTACGGAAATACGGAACAAAGAGTGCAGAAAATATGAATCGAGTTTTTGAGAGAACGGAGCATCCGATTTGAATGATCCAAAAAAAAGCATTTGATTTGTAGTTTTGAGGAGAAGTGGTGATTAGTTTTTGGCAAAGGCAGGTCCAGACGTATCGGAGACACCGAGCTAAATGTACAAAAAACGGCAGTTTTTGAGAGAACTAAGCGTCCGATTTGAATGATCTAAAAAGCTTTCTGCTTGTGTTGACGAAACAATTGCTTTAATGATTAAGCTAATTTCAAAAATGTATACTAGTTGTACTATATATAGTTAAGAACTGTAATTTCAGTATGTTAAACTTTGAAGTATATACTAAAAGTGTACATATATAAAATTTTATGTTTTCGAACAAATTATTGAAGTTTGTTGATACTTAACAAAATTTTGTCTCTTAAAACTAGTTAACAACGAAAAGAAAAAAAAATCTACGTAAAGTTCTAAGACTCACAATACTATACTATACTTCAAATAAATAATTTTAACTTTGCAATTCAGTTTATACAATTCTTATAAATATTAGACAAAGTTACAATATTTATAATGATCTATTTGAAAACATTTAATATTCCTCGAAGATTTCGTTACGGTACGGGAAGTTCCAGCAATTTGCCTTAGGGCACGATGCAATGCACCACTAAACTACATTATTTAAAAAAAAACTAAGACTTTTTAATAGACATAATAATATACTAAGAGAATTCTAATAAGCTTCTTATAGAATTCTGAATAGACTTCCAATATACTTCCAACCAGGGAATGCAATACCGATGGAAAATTTCAATACCGGTATTTCGGTAATTTTTCATTTTAAAACCGGAATACCGGTAAATTACCGGTATTTTTATTATCTTACACAAACGTAAACAAAATTGAAAGTTACTAGTACAAATATAAAAAAATGTATGTACAACTACAACTATATTCAAGTAAACAATAAAATAAAACAATAAGTTTATTTCTTTAACTAATGATTTAACAAAAGTATATGCAATTTAATTAATTCATTATCACTATCGAGTATATTGAGTACTTTTCACCAAAACCAAACAGAAAGACCAAAAACTCATAAAAGATCATATTACATTATTTTAATAAACTGTATTGTCTGTATCCGATGTGTTAAATTAGCATAATTTCCAATATTTAAAAATAATAATTTTTTTACACTAATTTAAGATCGTATTCTTTGTCAAAATCAATAATAAGTTACTATAATTGCTGAGGATTGTTATTTATCACATTGTGATGCTTCTATAGTATTTTCAAACTTCGAAACCTTTTCGAAAAATAATACTTTATAATTGTAATAAGAAGCAAAAATATTTAGTAATCATCATAATTATTATGTATAAAGTTAGAAAAAAATAAAGATTACGCAAGGGTAATCTGTATGATATAAAATATTTTGGGACAAATATTATTTAAAAATCCGTTACAAAAGATGAAACAAACATCATTATCTATAAGTCAAATTATATTTATCGTGTCACGATATGAAGCCCTTTGGAAAGCAATAAATATTCAGTTTAATGACGAGTAGAGATAATATTTGACATTTGTTTATCCTATAGAATCACTTGAAGATATAGCTGTTTATGCGATTATGGAATTTAAAGATACATTTGTTCCGAGAAATTTAAACATTAGTGTATTATGTATCAAATAGCGCTTATGTAAAAATACCGAAAATACCGGTATTTTTGGAATAAATACCGGTAAAAATACCGCCATAAAATCGGGCGGTTTACCGGTAATTCGGTATACCGGTATACCGGTATTGCATTCCCTACTTCCAACTAATTAATTCAGTAATTCATTGATCTTTACAATGATTTTGAAAATTAGTATTTTACAAAATGTATATTTATTTAAAAAACAAAACCTATCAAAAATTTTTACAAACATTTCACTTATAATGTCATAAAAATTTCTAGTTAATAAATTAAAAACTACAAAAAAATCGTATAAACTAATTTATGATGGCAACAGATAGATTAAATTTAGACTTGCCAGTAACCTCGATCCATGGATATGGTGACGTTAAAGTTTTTGGACATGATACAGTAAGTTATAAAAAATCACATGACACTTGGTACAATTATTTTCCTTTTTTTATGGGCCGAAAATCGAAAATGAAAATTTTTGCATTTCTCGACGTTTTGAAGGTTTCTGAACATTTTGGCATACCTCAGAAACCAAACGGATGTGTGTGTGTTTTGTATGTCTGCATTTTTTCGTCCACGTTTTCGGGCGCACGGATCAACCGATTTGAATAATTTAAGAAACATTCGATCCCTATTGATAGGGAGATGTGCTGATTAGTTTTTGGCAAAGGCAGGTCCAGCCGTTACGGAGATACGGAGCAAAGAGTGCAGAAAATACAAATCGAGTTTTTGAGAGTACGGAGTAAAAAAATAAAAAATGAAAAATCATTACATCTTTTTTTATTTTCCATAAAATATTTTTGTAATTTTGGATTAGAATTTAAAAAAATTACCCAGGCTAAGCACAGTCTAAGCGCCACTCTGGTACAAATGTTTACCCGAGTGCGTTTAGACTGTTTATGTACCTACTGAAGCACTTTTCCAATTTTGTGAAAACTATTGAAAAATGTGAAAATGCCGCCAAGCTAAGCACAGTATAAGTGAAAATGTCGCAGGAAATTATTTGCAAATGCGTTTAGACTGTGACTATACGAGAGCACTTTTTCAATTTTGTGTAAATTAAGCATATTTTTTTTTTTGAAATTGAATTCGAAATGAAATGACGATTGTTGTTAATGTCCTGGAGATAAATTGATTTATGATTTACAATTGATTTTCTCAGATATAACAAACAAGATAGCAAAAATAATGGAAGTTACAGTATTTGTAATAATAAATTTGAAAACGTTTAAAATTGGGTTTGTCGGTTTTTAAAAACCGATTTTAAAAACCGTTTTTTTTTGGTGAAAATTATGGAATTTGAAAACCGTTTTTTTAACGAAAAAAGTCGTTTTTTACTGTATATGTGGAAAATGACAAATATAACCAAATATGAAATATAGATGAAAGCGTTTTTATTCTTGAAATCATATCGGTTCAATAGCATTTGATATCTCATCAGTCTGCAATGGTTCCCACAAAGGTTTTGTATATATTACATTAGATTTTTATAACAGTGTATATATTAATTTAATTTTATACCAGTGTATATTTTAATTTAAATCAGTGTGACTTCTTCTTGAAGAAGTAACTTCCTCTACTCTAACTCAAAAAGAAGAGTTTTAAACCCTAGAAGCCACAAATTAAAGAACAAAAAACTTAGAATTATTATATCAGGCTTTAAAAACAATTAAGCATAATTTGGTCGCTAGTATGAGAGTATTTTCTATTTCAGAAAATTTTGTGAGTAAACAATAAAGGACACGTCTAAGTAGCAATTCGATAGACGATTGAAATCATATTATATTAAACAAAAAATACAATTAGAATGTTTAAAATTAATTAATTAAAATTGCTCGGAACAAACAATACCCGAGTTTAGCTTAATTGTTTTTAAAACTATAATTGATATTAACAAGTGCGTATCTAATATATTGTTTTATTTTATTTTAATTTAATGAATTTTTGTTATTTATTAATGTATTATTTTTATTTATTCAAAAACTTTCCTATCACTATCATAAAAATATTTTCATTCTTATATGTGAAAATGATGCATGAATAACGAATAATTATTTTCAAAGTTATTAAATCAAGATAAACTTTTATTTTTAGTTCTACTAATTAAAATTAAAATAATTTTGTTTACTATCTATAAATTTGAACAATAAATAAATTCAGTCAAATACTGCTCTAAATTACACTAAATTTGCGGATAAATTACAGAATATTCGAGCAAAAATGTATTTTTTATATAAAATTCGAAAACCGCTTAAAAACGGGTTTTTAGTAAAATTAAAATTTGAAAACCGGTTTTCTGAAATGTCGGTTTTTGTATAAACCCTAGTTTAAAATTTCTCGAATATGTCATTACGGTACGGGAAGTTTTAGCAATTTACCTTAAGGCACGATGCCATACACCACTAGTTTTATTATTATTTCTTCAGCCTCTGGCAGCCATCCAAGGGACCAAGAAGCCCTGTCTGGCACCATGCAGTGTCAACAAACCAGGTTGCGATTCCCGAATGCGAGAATGCAGACGAAGGTACCAGAATCGCACCCCGGTACAAAAACCAGCAGGGGTTGAAGGAGTCGTCGACCCTTTGGCTTTGGAGCCCTGCGGGAGCGGATCGGCCCTGGAAGAATGCCAACAACCTGAAGGTAAAGATAATGGATATAAATATATATATATACATATATATATATAAATAAGTCGGGGTTTTCTTCCTGACGATTTAACTCCAGAACGCACGAACCGATTTCGACAATTTTGCATTCGTTGGAAAGGTCTCGGGCTCCGCAAGGTTTATAGCTAAGAAAATTAGTTGTGCATGGCATCGTGCCCTAATGCAAATTGCTGGAACTTCACTCTTCGTAATTAAAAATTCGAGTAATTACATTAGTGAGAATTATCAGAATTATGCTTGGTTAAGTCAACGAGCAATTCTTGCCGCAAAGAATAATGATGTACACGCACTGAATTTCACCATTCAATCAAAAATTGCTGGCGATTTGGTGACATACCAATAATTCCGACTGGTCTTCCGTTTGACTTCAAACGATTGTAATTTCCAGTTCGCCTTGCGTTCGCAATAACAAGTCGCAAGGCCAATCGCTTAGTGTTTGCGGGATAAATTTCAAATAGTTTATTTAGAAAATTATTGTTTTTCACATAGGCAGTTATACGTTGTCTGTTCACGAGTTGGAAAACCATCCGCTTTGTTTGTGTTAACGTCGAACCGAAAAACAAAAAATGTGGTTTACCAAAGAGCACTTCAATGAAACGGATAATTTGCGGATTCACTTTCATTTACTTAGAGAAGTTCAACTAAAAAACACTTCATTTTTGTAATCGAAATAAATTCATTACTGTTGTATAATAAAATCAACGATCTAGTTTTGGATATAAAAATATATATCTATTTTTGTGCAGAATATTATCCGACCGGGCCAAAGTTGCCTGAAAGGCGGCATTTGCGTACGGGAGATCCCAATGTCCATTTGACTGAAGAAGGCTTTGACTTTTTATATCCTGATGATGGGGTTTCTGAACCTGAAGTCGTCATGATGTATACTTGGACCACTAGAAGTCGGATGACTGTTAAAGTAAGATTTTTGAAATTTTGACAACAGATATATCAATCCATCTATTTTGATACCAAATTGTAAAATTAGCAAAGTTCCATTCAACATTTGTAAATATTTACAATTGTTTGTAAAAGCCACTACGTCGTTAGTACTAGGGTTTATACAAAAACCGACATTTCAGAAAATCTGTTTTCGAATTTTAATTTTACCAGAAAACCGGCTTTGACCGGTTTTCGAATTTTATATAGAAAATAAATTTTTGCTCGAATATCCTGTAATTTATACGCAAATTTAGTGTAATTTAGAGCATTATTTGACTGAATTTATTTATTGTTCACTTTTATAGATAGTAAACAAAATTATTTTAATTTTAATTAGTATAACTAAAAAATAATAGTTTATCTTGATTAAATAACTTTGAAAATAATTATTCGTTATTCATGCATCATTTTCACATATAAGAATGAAAATATTTTTATGATAGTGAAAGGAAAGTTTTTTGAATAAATAAAAATAATTCATTTTTAAATTAAAAAAAAACATTAAATTAAAATAAAATAAAAATATTAGATACATGTTGATACACACTTGTTAATATCAATTTTAGTTTTAAAAACAATTAAGCTAAACTCAGGTATTGTCTGTTCCGAACAATTTTAATTAATTAATTTTAGACATTTTAATTGTTTTTTTGTTTAATAAAATATGATTTAAAAAAAACTGAGAACGTCTATCGAATTGCTACTTAGATTTGTCCTTTGTTTACTCACAAAATTTTCTGAAATAGAAAACACTCTCATACTTGCGACGAAATTATGCTTAATTGTTTTTAAAGCCTGATATAATAATTCCAAGTTTTTTGTTCTTTTATTTGTGGCTTCTAGGGTTTAAAACTCTTTTTTTTAAGTTTGAGTAGAGGAAGTTACTTCTTCAATAAGATGTCACACTGATTGAAATTAATATATACACTGGTATAAAAATCTAAATTAATACAAAACATTTCTGGTAACTATTGCAGACTGATAAGATATCAAATGCTATTGAACCGATATGATTTCGAGAATCAAAACGCTTTCATCTATCCTTTATATTTGACTATATTTGTCATTTTTCATTTTTACAGTGAAAACCGACTTTTTTCACTAAAAAACCGGTTTTCGAATTCCATAATTTTCGCCAAAAAAACGGTTTTTAAAACCGGTTTTTGAAAACCGACAAACCCCAGTTAGTACTATAAGTAATCTTGGTTGCTTGTTTTGAAAAAGTGCTGCTGCACGCGAAGTTTGCATTACACATCAAAAATTTTGACAACAGATATATCAATGCATCTATTTTGATAACATATGGTAAAATTAGCATACTTTTATTCAAAATATTTACAACAATTTGCAAAAACTACAACGTTACTAGTACCGAATGTAATCCTTGGCTTGTTTTTAAAACGTGTTTCTGTACGCACCGTTTGCATTACACGGCAACAGGTACATTAATCGAACTAATTTGAGACCAGCCACAAAAATTAGCAAAGTTTCATTCAAATTTTTAAAATATTTACAACAATTTGCACAAACTACAACGTCACTAGTACCGAAGGTAATCCTTGGCTTGTTTTCAAAATGTGCTCATGTACGCACCGTTTGCATTACACACCTATAATTTTGCCAACTGGTATATCAATACATCTACTTTAGCACTAAATACTAAAATTAGTAAACTTTTATTCAAATTTTTTGAATATTTACAACAATTTGCACAAACTACTACATCACTAGTACTGAAGGTAATTTTTAACTTGCATCCAAAACGTGTTCCTGCACGCACCGTTTGCATTACACTCAGGGCCGGATTTAGAAATTTGGCGCCCCGGGGCACTGACAAAAATGCCGCCCCAACCCTGAAATTTTACGAACTTTCAAACTTTTTTTAAAGCAACCGCGCTGCTTCAGCTGCGAGGGACAAAATATAGAAGCGCGTAAGCGCCGCGTCGCAGTCTAACGAATAAATAATGTTACAGAACTTATGTAAATGTAAACAAAATTTATACTTATTATTATAATATCTTTAAAATATCTTATAATTTAATGTGCATATGTCTTATGATAATTTTTGTCCGCCAAATGTTTCTTTTTCAAATTTTTTTATTGGATTATCGAAACCGCTAAACCTGCCCCCAATAAATTTAAGCAGTTATTTATTCTGTAAATTTTTTTGAATGTTATTGGACGCTTTTTTCTCAAAAACTGAATTATCATTTCTGGCATTTTGGCCCGTATCTTCAAAACAGTTGGACCTGCCTTGACCAATATCTAATCAGCACGTCTCCTTATCAATAGAAATTGAATCATAAATCGGTTGATCCGTGTTCTCGAAATCGACTTGAATAATTAAAAAATCTTAGATTTGTATTAATGGGATGACGTGCTGATTAGCTTTTGGTACAGGCAATTACGAAAAATGGTAATTGAGTTTTGATATTCCTTCTCTTCTTTGCAAAAAGTTCAGAATTTTCGAAAAATTTCAAAATACAAAAAATGTGTTTTAGAAGTCTTTTCTTCATTTTTCAATAAAATGTAAAGCTCTTTATAAAATGTAATTTTCAGTACGGAATGTTTCAGTAATTTGTCTCAAGGCACAATGCCATGAGTCACTAGTTTAAATTATTTTTCGACGCTATAAGCTTGGAAGTGCACAAATACGTGCATTTTAAGAAGGCTCGAGAACTGAAGAACATATTTTTCTTAAACTTTTAGCTTGTTTACGGATTTTTATACTAGCCAAATTGCCAAATTTGATAACTTATTAACCAATTTGATAATTTACGTTCGGAGAGGGAAGCAAAGCATAATAATAAATTTTAGTTATCGTTTATTTCTACCCCAAATTTTGCATTTCTTGCAATAAAAAATGTTGTTAAAGTTGATTATATTGTATAGAATTTTTTTCTCACTATCCAAATTTTGCCGCCCCCCAAAATTTGCCGCCCTGGGCAGTAGCCCCGATTGCCCCTACTGTAAATCCAGCACTGATTACACTTCTAAAATTTTGCCAGCTGGTATATCAATACATCTACTTTAGCACTAAATATTAAAATTAGTAAACTTTTATTCAAAATTTTTGCATATTTACAACAATTTGCAAAAATTACAACGTCACTAGTACCGAAGGTAATCCTTGGCTTGTTTTCAAAACGTATTCCTGGACGCACCGTTTGCACTACACACCTACAATTTTGACAACTAGTACATCAATCAATCTACTTTGATACTAAATACTAAAACTAGCATGCTTCCATTCATCTTCTGTAAATATTTACAACAATTTGCACAATCTGCATCATCACTAGAACCATAGGTGTAATCTTTTGCTTGGTCAAAACGTGCTCCTGTACGGACCGTTTGCATTACACTCCCAAAATTTAGGCAACTGGTGCATCAATCAATTTACTTCGAGACCTATTACTAAAATTGGTGAGCTTTTATTCAAAATTTGTTAATATTTACAACAATTTGCAAAAACTACAACGTCACTGGTATCGCAGGTAATCTTTGGCTAGTTTCCAAAACGTGTTCCTGGACGCACCGTTTGCATTACACACCTACAATTTTGACAATTGGCACATCAATACATCTACTTTAGCACCAGTTACTAAAATTAACGCACTTTTATTCAAAATAAGTAAATATATGCAACAATTTGCAAAAACTACAACGTCACTGGTACCTTAGGCAATGTTTTGCTTGGTTTCAAAAGGTGCTGCTGCACGCACCGTTTGCATTACACTACTAGAATTAAGACATCAAACTATATTAGCACCAAAATTAACAATTCAAAATTTGTAACAATTTATAATCTATGTATATATATATAATATATATATATATATATATATATTTTATTCCCAGGTGATAACTTATGGAGCAACTGTAGTAGGTATTTCAGTACCAGATGCAAGAGGAATGGTTCAAGATGTTTTGCTAGGATTCGACGATTTAGCAGGTAATAATAAAACACTCTTTTACTTATAAAAAAATTAAATACAGTATGTGTTTTCCTCCTTCAGGTTACAGGAGACAAAGCAATCCTTATATAGGCGCAACCTTGGGTCGTGTTGCAAATTACATCGAAAATGCGAACTACAAATATCTCCACGACGAGTACGACTTGAGGCCAAATCGTCCACCACATCATTTTAACGGAGGTCGTAGAGGATTTGATAAAAAATTGTGGACTGCCACTCAGGATGGAACTAAGGTAAAGAATAAAGGACTCAAGTTTATACAAAATGCCTATCATATTTTGTTGATATTAATCCATGTATTATTATTTTTGTTGTGTTTTTCTAGATTATAATGAACCTGGTGTCCGAGTCTGGTGCTGAAGGTTATCCTGGTAAATTGTTGACGTCCATAACCTTCCAGGTGACTGCTGAAAATAGATTTATTGTCAGCATGAGATCTGCAAGTGATTGTTCGACTCCTGTGAGCCTCACACATGCACTGAGACTCAATTTGGCAGGACATGTAAGTAACATAGATTTTTTGGAATTTTTGGGGATCTAAATAGCTAAATCATTCAATCAATTGAAATTTTGTTAGAAGACATTAAAGTAGTCATATTGCAAAATAGTTTGTTCAAATTTTGGAATTCTGGCAACTGTATTGTGACCCCAAGACGTCTTTGAAAATATGACTTTCTTATCTCTCACCTGGATTACTTCTCAACTTTTTGATTAATACACAAAATTTTGTTAGAAACATCATCAATTTTACTATTTGATATTAAAGTAGAAGCATTACAAAATATCCTGCTCAAATTTTGGAGTTTTGTTAACTGTATTGTGACCCCTATACGTGCTTGAAGATGACTTTCTTATCTCTCCCCTGGATCATTTCTCAAATTTTTGCTAAATGCATGAAATTTTGTTAGAAACCTTATAAATTTTAATATTTGATATTAAAGTGGTCGTATTGCAAAATAGTTTGCCGAAAATTTTCGAATTCTGGCAACTGTATTGTAACTCCTAGACATCCTTGAAGATATAACTTTCTCATCCCTCACCTGAATCATTTTTCAAATTTTTGTGAAATGCATAAAATTTTGTTAGAAATTCCATTAGGTTTACTAATAGACATTGAAGTAGTCAAATTGCAAAATAGTTTGCTGAAATTTTGGAATTTTGTTAACTATATTGTGACCCCTAGACATCCTTGAAGACTTGACTTTCTCATCCCTCACCTGAACCATTTTTCAAATTTTTGTGAAATGCATAAAATTTTGTTAGAAATCCCATTAATTTTACTAATAGACTTTGTAATAGTCATATTGCAAAATAATTTGCTGAAATTTCGGAATTCTGGTAACTATATTGTGACCTCTAGACGTCCTTGAAGTTATGACTTTTTCAACTCTCACATGAATCATTTCTCTAATTTTTGTTAAAAACATGAAATTTTGTTAAAAGCTTTATAAATTTGAATATTAGACTTTAAAATAGTTATAATGCAAAACAGTTTGCTAAAATTTCGGGATCCTGGTTACTGTATTGTGACCCCTAAACGTCCTTGAAGATATGACTTTTTCAACCCTCCCCTGGATCATTTTTCAAATTTTTGTTAAAAACATGAAATTTTGTTAATAGCTTTATAAATTTGAATACTAGATATTAAAATAGTTATAATGCAAAATAGTTTGCTAAAATTTCGGGATCCTTGCAACTGTATTGTGACCCCTAGATGACCTTGAAGATATAAGTTTTCCAACTCTCACCTGAATCATTTCTCTAATTTTTATTAAAAACATGAAATTTTGTTAAAAGCTTTATAAATTTGAATATTAGACATTAAAATAGATATAATGCAAAATAGTTTGCTAAATTTTCGGGGTCCTGGTAACTGTATTGTGACCCCTAAACGTCCTTGAAGATATGACTTTTTCAACCCTCCCCTGGATTATTTCTCAAATTTTTGCTAAATGCATGAAATTTTGTTAAAACCTCATCAATTTTACTATTTGACATTAAAATAGAAGCATTACAAAATATTCTGCTCAATTTTTGAAGTTTTGTTAATTATATTATGACCCCTAGACGTCCTTGAAGATATGACTTTCTCATCCCTCACCTGGATCATTTTTCAAATTTTTGTGAAATGCATAAAATTTTGTTAGAAATCCCATTAATTTTACTAATAGACATTGAGGTAGCCATATTGCAAAATAGTTTGCTGAAATTTTGGAATTCTGGTGACTATATTGTGACCCCTAGACATCCTTGAAAATATAACTTTTTCAACTCTCACATGAATTATTTCTCTATTTTTTGTTAAAAACATGAAATTTTGTTAAAAGCTTCAAAAATTTGAATATTAGACATTAAACTAGTTATAATGCAAAATAGTTTGATAAAATTTCGGGATCCTGGTAACTGTATTGTGACCCCTAAACGTCCTTCAATATAAGACTCTCTTATCTCTCCCCTAGATCATTTTTCACATTTTTAGATCATTTTTCACATTTTTGCTAAATGCATGAAATTTTGTTAGAAATCCTATTAATTTTAGTAATAGACATTGAAGTAGTTATATTGCAAAATAGTTTGTTCAAATTTTGGAATTCTGGCAACTGTATTGTGACCCCAAGACGTCTTTGAAAATATGACTTTCTTATCTCTCACCCGGATCATTCATCAAATTTTTGCTAAATGCATGAAATTTTGTTAGAAACCGCATCAATTTTAAAATTGGATATCAAAGTAGTCGTATTGCAGAATTGTTTGTGAAAATTTGGAATTTTGGTAACCTGTAGGTTTAAACCTACAAGTAACTTTTTGTTTTTGTTTCAGGCTGCTGGTCTTTTGGACATCTTTAAACATCGCGTCACTGTCGATGCTGATAAATACGTTGAGAAGAATTTTATGGGATTGCCAACTGGTAAGATATATCTATTTTTTGGTCTATTTACCCATCTGCCCCCTTAAAGGTTGCTGTCATGCTTTTGATGTCCTGTACTTCCAATTTTCTGTGCTTTCTTTTTTGTAAACAAGTCATCCACCAACTACAATCTTCCACTGTTTACTCATTTTATTTCCAAGTGCTTTTTAAATTTGTGCCGGATGCAGATTTTTTTCAAATAGTAGAAGTCTCTTTTGCCAAACTCTTTGCAACTCTTCTTGATTGGTTACCTTGACATCACCATGGCCAATCTCTCCAGATATTTTACCAAGGCATAAAGTAATCTTTTACTCTTCTGTTTTATATTTAAGGTAAATTGCTAAAAGTAGCAGCAACTCAGTACGATTTTCGTGTCGAAAGAAACATTGGAGGGTTGTTAAGAAGATGTGCAAGACGAGGAATTGACCATACATTGTGCTTGACACACCAACCAGAACCGAAGGAGGACGAAGATGATGAGGACAATGTTATTTTTGTAGCCAGGTGAGGGAAAAGTTAAAGAAATATTGAGTGAATTCTTTGTTTCTTGTTCTTGTTTAGAAATTAGTTCCAGTACTTAGGGTTTTGCCAAAGAATTAGGGATATTTTAGGTTGCACTTGGATCATTTCTTATCATGCCAAGAAGATTAATTAATTACTCTAAAATAATCAATTAATGACTTTAGAGATCAATTAATTACTTTTATAATATTAGAACTATACCACAAATATGTGGTGCTGGTACAATTGTAGGAAGCATGGAAGCAGATGTTCATTTTTTTACATTTTATGCAACATGGAAGCAGAAGTTTTGGAAGATAACAAGAGAAACAGAACTCAATGTCCATAAATAACTTCTTTTTCTCAATCTTAAGCTTCCATCCTTTCATTCATATTCCTGCATCAAATTTTTATTCAATCCCTAAATTTTCTCTTATTGCTGAGGTTTTGGAAGAAACCAAATGAAGGAAGACCCAATGTCCATAATTAATTTCTTTTTTTTTAAGCTTCAGCCTCAATTTTTCTTTCATATTCTCAACTAAAATATTCTTTCCATCCCTTCTCTAAGTTATCTCTTCTTGCTGAAGTTTTGGAAGAAACCAAGATAAGGAGTACCAGATGCCAGTAATTAATTTCTTTTTTTTTCAAGCTTCAGCTTCCATTTTTATTAGTCCTCTCGAGACCCTAAACGTTCTCTTCCTGCAGAAATTTTGGTAACAAGGGAAACAATAATAACCTTTCTATTTCTCAAACTTTAGCTTCTATTATTCCTTTCATATTCTTCCCCTAAATTTCCTTTCCATCCCTTCTCTAAGTTTTCTCTTTTTGCTGAAGCTTTGGAAGAAACCAAGAGAAAGTGTACCAGATATCCATAATTAACTTTTTTATTTTCAAGCTTCAGCTTCCATTTTGCCTAGTCCTTTGAAGATCCTAAATTTTCTCTTTTTGCAGAAATTTTGGAAGCAAGGGAAACAATAATTACCTTTTTTCTTCTCAAACTTCAGCTTCTAATTTTTTTTGTCTTGTGCTTTGGCCTTCAAATCCCTGAATGTTCTTGCATAATAAGTTTTTTTTTAAATTACAATATTTATTACAACTGTTAAATAGTTTAACATTTAGTAATAATAATAAAAAATAACACAAATTTAATATACAATAAAAGCAAATAATAATAAAAATAAAATTAATAAATAAAAAAAAACAATACTTACTTCTACAAGAAATGTTAAATGTACGTTTTATCTTAGATATGTAGAAACTCAAATTTTTCTTAATAAACATGTAAATTTTATCAATTGTCATTATAGTACACATACGTGGTCTGTTCAAAAAGTACCCGGAATTTTCGTTTTTTCAAAAAAATATTTATTTATTCGTCTACATTAATGTGGTCCCCTTCAAAGTAGTCCCCCCCAGATATAATACACTTATGCCAGCGTTTTTTCCAATTTTCGAAGCACCCTTGATATTCACTTTTTGATATGTCCTTGAGCACTCTCAGCGATTCGGCCTTTATTTCTTCAATCGAGGAAAACCGCCGTCCTTTCATGGGTCTCTTCAACTTTGGGAATAGAAAAAAGTCACACGGAGCCATATCTGGTGAATTTTTGCACTTTGCAACACTTTATTTCATTTTTTACGCAAAATTTAATACAAATTCTTTGACTTTTCAATTCTTCCATTGTAAAAATCGCCGAGCTCAGAAAAACACGTCGAACCTTAGCGACTACCACAGACAAAGTAAACAGTGAATATAGCTGAAAATTTCATCATACTTTAGGGGCATGTATACCAACACAATAAAAAAAAAATTTTGACAATCAGACACTCCAGACCCGCGAAATTTAATTATTAGTAATTCCGGGTACTTTTTGAACAGACCACGTACTAGAGAATATTATACTAGAATTTAAAAATTGTGTTGCAAACAATTTGCCCTGTAGAGCTCTCCAAAACAACACTTACGTCTATAAGAATTGTTAAATGTACGTTTCATCTTAGATATGTAATAACTCAAAATTTTCTTAGAAAACTTGTAAATTTTAGTATTTGTCATCATAATGGACACATTGAAGAATATTTAGGTGAAATTTCAAAATTGTATTACAATCGGTTTGTCCTGAAGAGCTCTTCAAAACAACACTTGCGTCTATAAGAATTGTTAAATGTACGTTTCATCTTAGATATGTAATAACTCAAAATTTTCTTAGAAAACTTGTAAATTTTAGTATTTGTCATCATAATGGACACATTGAAGAATATTTAGGTGAAATTTCAAAATTGTATTACAATCGGTTTGTCCTGTAGAGCTCTCCAAAACAACACTTACGTCTACAAGAAATGTTAAATGTACGTTTCATCTTAGATATGTAATAAATCAAAATTTTCTTAGAAAACTTGTAAATTTTAGTATTTGTCATCATAATGGACACATTGAAGAATATTTAGGTGAAATTTCAAAATTGTATTACAATCGGTTTGTCCTGAAGAGCTCTTCAAAACAACACTTACGTCTATAAGAATTGTTAAATGTACGTTTCATATTAGATATGTAATAACTCAAAATTTTCTTAGAAAACTTGTAAATTTTATTATTTATCATTATAGTAGACACATTGAAGAATATTATATTCGAATTACAGAATTGTATTACAATCGGTTTGTCCTGAAGAGCTCTCCAAAACAATACTTACCAAAATGTACTTCCTAACCAGGACATTTCTCTACAAAATTATTTAACTTTTAAAATATTTGTGGAACATAAAAAGTGAATTTGACAAACTTATATAAAATTTTATATGCATATATATATATATATATATATATATATATAATAAAATTTCTGAATAATAAAATAATACTAGAAAAACAATAAAGTTGAATTAAAACAATAATTAGTCCAACAATTGCATACTTCCAAAGATCTTTAGACATTTTATTTGTCCATCAATTTTTCCTTAAATTGATTTAATTTAGACAGCAGACTTTTTCCTTTCACAATCTTCATTTGTCCCATTTTATGCTCTCCTGGTCTTTTTTTCTTAGAGTCCGTGTCTCTGATCCGTTTAGAACCTTACTTTAGAATAATTTAATTTAATTTAGGTGCTATTAATAAATTTATTATTTTTTAGGATTTTGCATCCAGATTCTGGTCGCGTTTTGGAAATCTACAGCAACCAGCCTGGTTTGAATTTTAGCACCTGCAACGATCTTCCTGACCATGGATACGATGTAAGTAGTTTAGTGAAAGTTTATTGATCAAGTGATCGATTTTTAAAGGATTTTGGAACCCGCACTTTTGGTTATACGTCGTGATATTTAAAATCATCCCCTTCCCCAACTACATCATAAAATTCCCCAAATAAATCATCCCCCTTCCCCAAATATCACGTGTATTTTTGGTTATGCAAAATTTTTCGAATTAAAATTCATGTAAAAAATAAATACAAGTGCTATTTTACTAGATCCCTCCCTCCCCATATGATATGTTGAGGGTAAAGGAGTTTTTTTTTATAACGAACCGTTTACGCATACCAGATTAGGTCTTTTATCTGGGTATGTCGGGCTCAATATCTTCTGGGTATGCAACCTCTGCTTATCTCTAGCCTAGCATAGAAAAATTTCATATGTAACCACCAATTTTCAATCAGCGAGGATGAAACTAGATAAAATTTACAACATTTCTTAGGGAACACTCTTATAAACTCTGATATAAAAGTTTTGAATAAAAGGACTTTGAATTCGATACTTCATTCTTTAGTAGCAATAAATAGAAAATTTGGGACGACTTGTACGTTGAAAACGCTCCAATGTGGAAGTAAATACAATTTGGGGTTGATTAATGAGGGAAGGGCAGTGGTGCAAAATCTGAAATTCTCTATTTAAATACTAGATATTATAATGTTTTTATTGCATTAGTTTCATTTGATTCTGCTCGTTCATTTTTTTTTTCTATACTTGGAGCTTGTACGTTGCAAATGATTCAGCATAGACGTAAGTACAATTTGTGGTTGATTGGAGACGTAAGGGCAGAGGTACAAAACCTGAAATTAAGTAATTTAAAACTAAATATTATATTGCTTATAATGCCTTGATATAATTTGATAATTTCAGTTCAATATAAATGTTCCCATACTAAATGCCTTAACATTATTTTAGGGATAATTTGTGACAAAACGGTGGTTGTAATTTTTATAAAAATCTGTGATTTTATAATATTATTATCAAAGATTATTTTTTTATTTTTTGACCTCAATACAGACTTTTTTTCTGCACTATATTACCTATCTTCACGAAACATCTCATATTAGGGCGGTCCGGCCGTCATGGGGTACTGATTTTAGTAGCTATTTTCGATTTTTTTTTGGTTTAATTTTGGTGGTGCAAATTAGTACAAATTCGAATTAATCAATTTTCGTTTAATTTTATTTATTTTCTTCAAAACAAAAAGTGGTCTTGCTAGCTTAATATTAAAGCTGGCAGCGTCACGTGTTTTTTTCAAACGGCACGTAGTACTAAATTTTTTTGTGGTGCAAATTAGTGCAAAATAAGTACTAAATAATACAACAGGCCCGGATCGATTTTGCTAATTTGGTCTTGCTAGCTTGAGAGAGGTAACACTTTTATACACTCCGATATAAAAGTTTTGAATAAAACCAACTTTGAATTCGATATTTCATTCTTTAGTAGAAAATTCGAGACATTATTTTGGTTTTTGTCAAATAACTCAAAAATATCATATGGAACTACCTCTTTTCAGTTAGTTAGGGTGCTTTTATTAAAACATTGGTAGCAAATATTATGGTAAAAAAGTCTGGAGAAAATTTAGGTCTATTATTATTGTTTTTTAGTTATTGCCTGAAGATCCCGACGATAAAGAAAACGTGTACTTGAGGCCAGTCGACACAGTTAACGAATACACCCAGGTAAAAAAAATTAAATAAATCACTTTAATATTATTTACTATATCACTAACATTTTTTATTATTAGGTTATAGAAGATGATATAGATTTTGAAATGTTTCCTGAAGATGACGAGGAAGAAGAAGAAGAAGACATGGCCAAAGCTCATGTAGAAGGTGACCTGAGCGAAGCTGAATTAAATTTGAGCCCTTCAGAAATTGGTAACATTTGAAAATAATGCATGAAATAATTTTTGTTTATTTAATTTTCTTCTGCAGAAGCTCGTCTGGCGTTTCGGAAACAAAGTGCAGCGGCCAAAAAATCAGACGTTTACCAAAGAATTTCTTTGATCACCAAGAAAGGAATAGAAGCCAAGAGCTCCGTGGAAGCCACTGCAGAAGAACAACTTGTTCCTGTCAAAATACGTAAATAAAAATATTAACTAGTGGTGTATGGCATCGTGCTTTAAGGCAAATTGCTAGAACTTCCCGTACGGTAATGAAATATTCGAGAAATTTTAAACGTTTTCAAATAAATTATTATTACAAATACTGTAACTTTCATTATTTTTGCTATCTTATTGTTATATCTGAGCAAATCAAATGTAAATCATAAATCAATTTATCTCCAGAACGTTAACAATCGTCATTTAATTTCGAATTCAATTTCAAAAAAAAAATAGTTGCCTAATTTACACAAAATTGAAAAAGTGCTCCCGTATAGTCACAGTCTAAACATTATTTGCAAATAATTCTATAATAATTTTCGCTTATACTGTGCTTAGCTTGGCGGCATTTTCACATTTTTCAATAGTTTTCACAAAATTGGAAAAGTGCTCCGGTATATAAACAGTCTAAACGCACTTGGGTGAACATTTGTACCAGAGTGGCGCTTAGACTGGGCAATTTTTTGAATTTTTAATCCAAAATTACAACTACTGAGGCGCATTTCATCGTGCCTTAAGGCAAATTGCTGGAACTTCCCGTACCAAAAATTATTTTTTTTTCAAAAGTAACATTTTTGAAAAAAAAATTACTCTGAAAAATTAGATTTTTGAGAAACTATACTTTTGACAAAAAATTACTTTTTTTTTGAAAAAAAAAAGACTTTTAGGAAAAAAGTATTTTGAAATATTTTGGAAATTCTGAACTTTTTTTCGTACTGCTTTAACTGCATAGACACGAAATCTAGAAGCGCGTAAGCGCCGCGTCGCTGTCTTACGGATGAACATTAATACGGAACCCATGGGAATGTAAACAAAATTTGTACTTATTGTTAAAATCTCTATAAAATATCTGATAATTTGATGTGCATATGTCTAATGATCATTTTTGACCGCCAAATGGCTTTTTTTTTACCTTTTTTACTAGATCTCCGAAACCGATAGACCTGCCTTCATGAAAATTTGATCAGTTCTTCATCTTGTCAATACAAGTAAAATGTTTTTTGAATTATTCAAATCGGACGCTCCGTTCTCTTAAAAACTGAGTTACCGTTTTCGGCACTTTTTTCCCCGTATTTTCGGAACGGCTAAACCTGCTTTCGCCAGAAACTAATCAGCTCGTCTGTTTTTAGAATTATTCAAATCGCTTCATCCGTCTTCCCGAAATTGTCGACGAAAATTTGTATCCACACTCACACACATCCATTTTTTCTGAAGAATGCCAGTAAAATGTTCAGAAACCTTCAAAACGTCGAGATATGCAAAAATTTTTATTTTTGATTTTTAATTAAATTAATAAGTAACTTTTTCTAATTCAATCTTTCCCCAGAGCGTAAAGTTTCCGATCCCGATGCCGGCGGTGCCGAATGGTGGGGCAAGACACCACCAGGAGCTGAAGATTTGTACGAATCAGCCAGGGAAGCAAGGATGAAGGCTTTGAAAGGGTTTGATGAGACTAGTGAACATGGTGCTGCTTGTTCTAAGGATTGCCCTTGTAGACTTACTGAGGATCAACGACTCAAGTAAGGAAAGATAATAGACATATAAGTAAATAGAAAGGTAGATAAGTCGAGATCTTTCCACTGACATTTTATATAATTAGTGATAAATTATCTCAGACTGCTAGATTGTGAATTTTTACAATGAACGTGAAAGAGGCCCCCATGGTGAATAGTTATCTGACCAAGATTTTTTAATTAAAGCTTCTTTAGGCGCGACATGAGTGTAAATCCGTACAAATGCAACGGAAATTGTTACGGCAAGGTCAAGTGAGAGTCATTCGCTCTCGATGTTATGATTTCTATACGGGTCGTATTTGTGCGAGGCTTCTTGGTATGCGTGACTTTATACGTGCGTACGTCACCGAAAGCGTGAAGCACATCGTTCAAATTTCCGGTGTTAAGTCGAAACATTTTAAGGTTAAATAGTAGTATAAATCGTGAGTTAATAAAAAATGTCTGAATCGGAAGAATATTTTACCCCGTCCCCCATAAACAATTGTAGTGCAAATAATGAAACAAATGAAAAATCTGCGCTGCGTAAGAAATGTAAGTTTATTGAAGTAATTTATATTATTCGAGTTTTTCGATGTTACTATATACCTTTGAGGTTATTACAAAAATGGAAAATATTTTTATAGGCAAGACAGATACTACAGTTGCTCAAAGAATGAAACTGTATCGCCAGCGAAATAGTCAAAACAAACAAGCTGTCAATAAACGTATGTTAATTTTAATTACATGATAAATGAAATTGTGAAAACAATATTTCTTTTTTGGAAATTTAAAGAAAGTTTACATGTTTCTCTTTCATGATGACTATGAAGACTAATTTTAATTTATTATAATAGTAATTATAAATATTGATGCATATTCAAAGCCTCTTACAAACTCTGAAAGATCAAGATTACATCGTCAAACAAAACAACTGCAGGAAAATACATCGGTTACTGCCAATTTATTAGAAAATCTTGAGCCAGGTATCAATTTAGATGTTAATGTCAACACCAATGACATAAGTAAGAATCTTTTTTCGCTATTTGACTCCTGAAAAACGCTACAACTATTCACATTTAAACATAATATTATGTTATTTTTTTAGATGAAAGTACTTCTCTAACTTTTTCTGATACAGCAACTACATCACGTCAATTGCAAATTAATGGTTCTGCATATAATGTGACTAATAATGTGACAAAAACTGATCTTTTGCAAGAGTCAAATGAAGTATTTAAACTTCCATATAAAGACTTCAATTTGTTTAGGAATGCACAAGAATTGTTTGAAAAACAATTTACAAATGATAACTTTGGCCATGTATGTTTTGTGTGTGATCGACTTTGGTTTCAAAGTGACTTAAAAATATTAAATAAAGCTCAAAAACAAAGTCTTAATTTTGGTTTTTTGAATATTGATTCAAATAATCAGGTTGGATGTCAAACTTGTCGAAAGGCATTAAATTCGAGTAAAATTCCCACTTTGTGTAAATTTAACGGGTTTGTATTTCCACCTATACCTAATTATCTATCTAAACTAGATACTGTATCTGAAATGTTTACTTCACCTAGGTTGTGTTCCATGCAAATTAGACGATTGTGACATGCAAATGGACAATTTGGAATATTTGGACAAATTGTAAATGTGTCTGTTGACGTTGATAATATGGTTAATTTATTTCCTCGTGATATTGATGATGATCATTGCATTAACGTTCACATGAAAAAGAAAATGATTCATAGATCAAGCTATGTACAGGTCTTGATAAATAAAATACATATAAAAGTATGGCTTCAATTTTGTAGGCAAGACAGATATTACAGCTGTTCATAGAATGAGACTGTATAGCCAGCGAAAAAGTAAAAAATACAAACAGTCAACATAATTCACTATGTAAACGAATATTATAGAATTTATTAATCAGCAATTACTCCATTTTTCTAATGAAGGTTCAAGTCCCAAATGCTAATTACAATGACAAACCGATCATGTCATATTTGAAATATGACTTTAATTACATTATTGTGTTTAAATATTATACATATTTTAATGCTATTATAAATGAAATGTGTATAATGGTTGACACTAATAGATGTGTGCATCACGAATGTTACCGTATCACTAATATACATTGTTATATGATGTATTTATTTTTACTTAAATGCCATCTTGTACAGTGGTTTAGTGGAAATAAGTTTTAATTTAATCGCTTGTGATCCTTACGCGCACTCTTTTTTTGCCTTAGGCAACTGAAAATGCTAGAGGAACTTCGTGAGCAAGAAGAAGCCGAAAACGAGCGAAGGCGGAAAGAACAAGAAGACATGGCTTTTGCTGAACAGCAAAGGCTTGCAGAAGAAGCCGAAGCAGCTCGTCAGTATAATTTTATTAAAATTTTATTGATTTAATTAAAGTAATTTATGGAGTTTTGTTGATCAGGTTTGAGAGCACTGGAGGAAGAAATGAGAAGAAAACTGGAAGAGCAGGAAGCTGAAGAAGGAGAGGATGAAGGTCCTGGTGGAAGCGAGGAAGGGGAAGGAGAAGGAGAAGATGAGGTTTACACTTTGGCACTTTCCTGCCCAAATATTACTTAAGGGGCACAACTAGTGTGAAATTTTCAAAAAATCTAATTTTCAATTTATTCATATTTCGATAGGTTATATCTTTAAAAATAACATACCAAAATTTTGAATCGATATCTTAAATAGTTTTTGAGTCACAGCCATTCAAAGAATATACATATAGTATATAGTGAAACGATCATTTAATCTTTAAACGCGTTTTTCTCGAAACAACATTTTCAGAATTTGCTGCAGCGATTACTCAAAAACAAATGATCCGATCACTATCGATTATTTTTTACATGTACTATGTATAGTTCTCCGTAAAATAAACTATCGATTTTTTGATCGGATCAAAAATCGAATTTTGGCAGTCCAAAAACGACCAAAATTTTGGGTAAAATTCGACTTTTTTTTAAAAAACGCTGTCGTTTTGACAATTTTTGATTTTGTTTCTTTATCGTAGTTCATTTTACAGACAATATTATCTAGTTTAACGAGATATTTTTTTTTAAATTTCATCCACGTAGAAGGCCGGAATCATTGCAGAAGTGAAGGTAGTGATGTGCCAAGTCGAATCAAGTGATTCGAATCATTCGAATCAAGCCTTTAACGACTTGATTCGAATCAGATTTTACTTGATTCGAATCAACTCGTATCAAGCCGCGAAATATTTACTGTGATAAAACATGTGTGAACATTAATTTTCATAAATATAAAAAAAATGTTTTAATTTAATTCAATATTATAATAATATAAATAATAATAATATTAATATAAAAAATAATAATAATAAATATAAAAAATAAATCTTGAATTAAATCATGCGAGTCACCCCGCCTTTAATACGCTTAAATGTATCACCCGACTCCAATTTATATGACTTTAACCGCATTCAAGTCGATATGAATTCATCCGAGTTCCTATGACTCAAACCGACTTATCCCGACTTCAAGTCGTTATGAATTGATTCGAGTTCCTATGACTCAAACCGACTTATCCCGACTTCAAGTCGTTATGAATTGATTCGAGTTCCTATGACTCAAACCGACTTATCCCGACTTCAAGTCGTTATGAATTATTCGAGTTCCTATGACTCAAACCGACTTATCCCGACTTCAAGTCGTTATGAATTAATTCGAGTTCCTATGACTCAAACCGACTTATCCCGACTTCAAGTCGTTATGAATTAATTCGAGTTCCTATGACTCAAACCGACTTATCCCGACTTCAAGTCGTTATGAATTGATTCGAGTTCCTATGACTCAAACCGACTTATCCCGACTTCAAGTCGTTATGAATTAATTCGAGTTCCTATGACTCAAACCGACTTATCCCGACTTCAAGTCGTTATGAATTGATTCGAGTTCCTATGACTCAAACCGACTTATCTCGACTTCAAGTCGTTATGAATTGATTCGAGTTCCTATGACTCAAACCGACTTATCCCGACTTCAAGTCGTTATGAATTAATTCGAGTTCCTATGACTCAAACCGACTTATCCCGACTTCAAGTCGTTATGAATTAATTCGAGTTCCTATGACTCAAACCGACTTATCCCGACTTCAAGTCGTTATGAATTGATTCGAGTTCCTATGACTCAAACCGACTTATCTCGACTTCAAGTCGTTATGAATTAATTCGAGTTCCTATGACTCAAACCGACTTATCCCGACTTCAAGTCGTTATGAATTTATCCGAGTTCATATGGCTCAAACTGAATCATACCGACTTGAGTTCGAAACATGTGTCCGTGTTTAGCGTATCGACTTATCAAGATGCTGTGCGTATGGGTGTTTGTTTATTTTTGACTAAGCGCTGAGAGCAAATTTGTTCATGAAATATAAAAAACTCATTTAGATAATAAATACGCGATTTAGATTTTAATTATTATCAAAATAAACTACACAACGAGTTTTATACACATACAAAATTATCATATTTTAATTATGCAAGTAATAGCAAATTCACACAAATGAAATAATATCAATCTTTACAGTAGTGGATTGAATTTTAAGTCATTCGTAAGACGTTAGATTCAGCCCCCTGTTTAGATTAGATCTGAACAATCAATAATATACACATGCATTCGTTCAACGTAAGATTAAGAATATTGTTTTATATGCTTTAGTGATAGAGAAGTGTTTGGTTATATTTTACTGTAAATTCACTTGAAATATTAGTTATATTTGTAGCTAGTTTATTATTATATATATAATATAAATGTATTCATCTCTGCACTTTTTGGAATTAATTGCTTACTAAATTAATTATTTCACTTATAAAATTATTAACATGATATTATTTCTTCTCTTAAATTATAATTGTTCATATATGAACTTGATTCGAATTGATTCGAATCATGATTCGAATCAGGTTTTTTTCTGATTCGAATCATTCGAATCAGGAAATTTTCGAGTCGGCACATCACTAAGTGAAGGGTCTTTTTTTTTGTCGCGCCGTTGGAGATCGATGATAACTTAAAAAATATTTCTTTTTTTTTTCAAAAATTTTACTATGTGTTCTTATAAACATGTATAAATATATTTCTATAATTTTGAAATGATTGATAAAGAAGTTTTTTTAATATAAAGTCTCAAAAATCACCTTTTTTAGGCGGTTACACTAGTTGTGCCCCTTAACCTAATTTTGATTTACTTTATTTTTTTAGGATGAGTACGGTCTAGGTGGTGACTATGGCTATGGCTACGGAGGCAGAGATTCTTTGAGATATCAAAAAGGCGCCCATCGTGTTGGTCTGGAAGAGGTCGATAGTACCTTAAGGGACCCTGTGTGCAAAGCCTGCAAGGAACCTTCTGAGGACGAGTACGAGGTTGCAGTTAGCGAATCGGAGGTGAGGAATAAAATATTTAATTTCTACATAAAAAGATGTAAAGAAAATGATTAAAAATAAGTTTACTGCCATTTTGGTATGTCTTAACGTTACTATTTTAAAGTACAGGGCAACTAGTGGTGTATGGCATCGTGCCTTAAGGCAAATTGCTGGACCTTCCCGTACCGTAATGAAATACGCGAGAAATTTTAAACGTTTTCAAATATATTATTACAAATACTATAACTTTCATTATTTTTCCTATCTTGTTATATGTGAGCAAGTCAAATGCAAATAATAAATCAATTTATCTCCAGAACATTAACAATCGTTATTTCATTTCGAATTCAATTTCAAAAAAATTGAAAGTTGCCTTATTTACACAAAATTGAAAAAGCGCTCCCGTATAGTCACAGTCTAAACGCATTTGCAAGCAATTCTGTGCGACATTTTCACTTATACTGTGCTTAGCCTGGCGGCATTTTCACATTTTTCAATAGTTTTCACAAAATTGTATAAGTGCTTCTTTACATAAACAGTCTAAACGCACTTGGCTAAACATTTGTACCAGAGCGGCGCTTAGACTGTGCTTAGCCTGGGTAATTTTTTGAATTTTTAATCTAAAATTACAAAAATATTTTATGAAAAATAAAAAAGATGTAATATTTTTTAATCCTCAAAATTAATTATTTTGTTAAAACAAGCAGAAAGTTCTTTGAATCATTCAAATCGGACGCTTAGTTTACTCAAAAACTGCAATTTTTTGCACATTTAGCTCTGTATCTTCGCAATGACGGGACCTGTCTTTGCCAAAAACTAATCTCCTCTTCTCCCAATCATTACAAATTGACTGTTTTTTAGATCATTCAAATCCGATACACCGTTCTCTCAAAAACTCGATTTGTATTTTGTGCACTCTTTGCTACGTATCTCCGTAACGGCTCGACCTGCCTTTGCCAAAAACTAATCAGCACATCTCCCTATCAATAGAAATCGAATGTTCTTTAAACCATCCAAATTGGTTGATCCGTGCGCCCGAAAACGTGGAGGCTCATGGTAAACTATTTAAATAAAGTATTTTTGTCGTTAGTTTTTTTTTGGTTTTGAGCACTGTTGTTTAGTTTACGTTACCTGAATTTATAAAGCAGTTGGAGGAGGAATAAATAAATTAGCAGAAAATTGAAAAAAATAATTTTGATACCATCAAATTGTGGAACATTTGAGTTTTCTATATCAGATCTTTAAATTGTGTCTCTATTTTAATTTAATATATATATATATATATATATATATATATATATATATATATATATATATATATAGTTTAGGGTGGTCCTTAATATGGACATTTTTTAATTTCTTTGCTCCCAAGGGCCCAAATGGTTCCAAATTGATAAAAAACAATTTTCTGAAAGTTTTAGCTCTTAATATTGTTTTTTAGATAGAGCGCAATTCAATCAAAGTTTTGTATGGAACTAGCATGAAAAAATATTCAAAAATTTAGCAGAGCGTCGAATTTTCAATATAAAATGACACGAATTTTCACATTTAATTCATTTGTTGCTAAGTTATACCTAACATTTTTTTTAATTTTCAAATTTTTTTCCATGCTATTTTCATACGAAGTTTGATTGAATAGCGCACTATCTAAAAGTTAATATTAAGAGCTAAAACTTCCAGAGAATTGTTTTTTATCAATTCGGAACCATTTGAGCCCTTGGGAGCAAGAAAATTCGAAAATGTCTATATTAAGGACCAACCTAAATTATATATGCATATATATCCTTGTCATTATATTAAGGAGATTTTCTTTTTATTTAGGAAGGAGACGAAGAAGGTGTTACATCTGATATTGCACTTTTGAGAAAATTAGGACCACCAGCAAGTTTTATAGAAGGAAAAGAAGGTGCTAAATATTATAAAAATTGTGCAATTGGACTGCAAACTCAAAAATATCCTGATGCCTTACACCATGTAAGTATAAAAGAAAAACACTCATGTATTTATAATTGTTTGGATTTTATTCTTGCAAAGAGTTGCTATTTTTCTCACATTTATATTTTTTTGTAATATATATATATATATATCTATATATATATATATTATATATATATGTTAAAGTAGTTAATTTTGATGTTGAGAAATATGAGTAAGTTCTTCAAGGGCATACATCAAATAAAAGGCAAAGATTTAGAAGTTAATCTTTAATTTTTCCAAACGTTTCGACATAGTATTTTATGTCATCATCAGTGGATCTACAGAATGAATATTGAAAAATTAATATAATCTAGGAAAAAATGACAGAAATTGGAAAAAGAACTATAGATATAAGTAATATAATTATAGCAATAACAATTATACTTAACAGATAGATAAACAAGAGAAATGAAAAGTAAAAAGAAATATATATAAACATACAAAAGCGTAATATATATACATAAATATACACACAAACAAACATGTATATATGATATGCATGTAAAACACGTACACATATGCATATATACATACGAACAATACGTATATATAAACATATACATACGGACATGTACATATGTATATATACACATATATACATACATACACATACACATATACATATATACATACATACACACATATATATATATATATATATATATATATATATATACATATACACATACATATATATATACATATACATACACATACATACATATGCAATACAGACACATACACATATATAGACAATGAAGGTAACTTACATAAATATGGTCTTACATCAGTAGCTAGCGCTAGGAACACAATTTTGCACTATCATATATACATTAACTTGTTTTTTTATATATAATTTGTTGAACAGAGTATGGCAAAATATTTGTGAAATATATAATATATTTTGGCACAGAGAACGTAGTTTATGTGACAGAGCCCGAGGCTGTAGTAACATGTGTTTAAAAATTATTTGAAGAGACCGTTTGAGGGAATAGTTGGCGGGTTTTTTTACAATCAGTGTTTCTAAGTATGGGTGAGAGGCTAAGAATCAAAGTTCGGGATCGGACCGCGTAAGGGTAGGTTTACAGGTTCGGAATTACGTAGGTTAAGAGGAAACAAATTTGGAAATATTATTAAGTATCACCTGATAATTTTCACAGAGTAAGGAGGCATCATGGCGTTTATTAATACAAAATTTCGAGGTGCTGATCAGACAAGATTCAGCAAATCTTCTCTGAATAATGTTCCGTTCGTGATAAAGTATACTAGCGTTATAAAAGTCAAAAGAATGTTTAAATTTTTTTATATGTTCTGTTATCATAGTTTGATTTTGTCGTGGGTTTTTAGAGTTATTATCATGTTGTTTTAGTCGTTTTATTAAATTTTGTCCAGTTTCACCTATGTAAATGGAATCACAATCATTGCATTTTAATTTATAAACAATATTTGATGTGCGTTCCAAACTAGTGGGTGATTTGAGGTTGGAAAAAAGGGAGCTAAGGGTTAAGTCTATGTTACAAATTAATCTTAAGTCGACCTTGTGGAAATATATGTATGTATATATGTCTGTATATGGATATATATGTATGTATGTATATATGTCTATATATGTGTATGTGTCTGTATTGCATATGTATGTATGTGTATGTATATGTATATATATATATGTATGTGTATATGTATATATATAGTGGGTGATTTGAGGTTGGAAAAAAGGGAGCTAAGGGTTAAGTCTATGTTACAAATTAATCTTAAGTCGACCTTGTGGAAATATATGTATGTATATATGTCTGTATGTGGATATATATGTATGTATGTATATATGTCTATATATGTGTATGTGTCTGTATTGCATATGTATGTATGTGTATGTATATGTATATATATATATATATATGTGTGTATGTATGTATATATGTATATGTGTATGTGTATGTATGTATATATGTGTATATATACATATGTACATGTCCGTATGTATATGTTTATATATACGTATTGTTCGTATGTATATATGCATATGTGTACGTGTTTTTACATGCATCATATATACATGTTTGTTTGTGTGTATATTTATGTATTATATTACGCTTTTGTATGTTTATATATATTTCTTTTTACTTTTCATTTCTCTTGTTTATCTATCTGTTAGTATAATTGTTATTGCTATAATTATATTACGTATATCTATAGTTCTTTTCCAATTTCTGTCATTTTTTCCTAGATTTTTAATTTTTCAATATTCATTCTGTAGATCCACTGATGATGACATAAAATACTACTGTCGAAAAACGTTTGGAAAAATTAAAGATTAACTTCTAAATCTTTGCCTTTTATTTGATGTATGCCCTTGAAGAACTTACTCATATATATATATATATATATATATATATATATATATATATATATATATATATAATTCCCTTCACCTTTTACCTTTTTTAGAAAAACTTTCCCTCAATCATCCTCCATCCTGGTGACTTCTACTGCCACAAAACCGAGTACAGATTCGGCCTGAAGGTTCGTCCTGGTGTCCTGATTAAAAAGGATGTTTCCACTGAAATTTCTCCAGAAGATGATGAAAAAGAAGAAGTTATTGGACTTGAAGACGAAAGTTGTATTAAAGAATGCGACGATTTGTGTCGGAAAATTGTCATGATTGTTGATCCGTGCTGCGAGGTTAAGGAGAAAAAAATATAAAAATATAACAGATATATATATATATATATATATATATATATATATATTTAATGGAACAATTGAGATCAATCACTTAATTAATAAACCTTTTCTGTAATTTCCAACATTTTATTCATATTTTTAATAATTATTCACTAATTTATTGCCTAAATTGTGAAAATTTAAGAGTTTCTCTAAACAAACACTGTTTTAATTCATTTATTCTACATATTTTACAAATTCAAATTTAATTCCACTCTATTCCATTCAACTCTTTGCTTTCCAATAAGATTCTTTAATGTCTCCCATCTATATAAGTTTGACTCATTCTTCTCTCTGCTCTCAACTGTCAAATGTCAATCTAACACATAAAATTCTTATCAGAACAAATTAATCGGCGTTATTTTGACTAATTAATTATTATTTACAGTTTTGTCGACGTCAGTTTGCTCAAACATTAATTCTAAGTACTGTTCTAATATCTGTGATAATTGTTTAATTTAAAATGTCTCATCAAACTGGCATTAAAGGTAAGGCAATTGGAATTTGTTAAAAATAATTACCATGGAATAACTTTTATATTTCTTTTACCAGGTAATGAAGGTTTGAAGAAGATTTTTGGAAAGTCAAAGGATGGGAAAATACGTGCTATTAAAATCAGTATTCAAAATGGTAAATGGTAAAAGATACATATTTAGTTGTAATATTTTTGTAATTGTTTGTCTTGATGTTGCAGAGGAGCTTAATTTGTCTGCACACAAAGAAGTGAAGAGTTCTTTTCAAAAGGATTATGAAAAAATGGTTATGCCCATGATCGAGGAGGATGTACCATGTTATATTCTATTCCGGTAGGATACAATTGTATATATAATAAAAGAACTGTTTATCAATATCGAATTTTTTTTAGGTTAGATACTAAAAACACATTAGGTTACGACTGGCTTCTCATAAGTTGGACTCCTGATAGTGCCAGTGTGCGCTTCAAAATGTTATACGCTTCAACAAAAGCTACATTGAAGAATGAATTTGGAACGGCACATATAAAAGATGAACTGCATGCAACTACCATGGTAATGGGAATCCTGGACAAGTTGATTTATATTTAATAAATGTGCATAGTATATTTATTGCTGATTTTTTTCAGGATGAAGTGACGTACAAGGGTTATACGAAGCATATAGAAGCAATGGTTGCACCGGCTCCTCTAACGATGAGAGAAGAAGAATTGAAAGAAATTAGGCAGACTGAAACACATGTGGATATTAGTACTAATACAAGGTACACTAAATAATTTTTTATATAAAAAAGGAGTGAATCATTTATATAATGATAAATTATAAATTATACGAGGTGTGTTCAAAAAGTACCCGGAATTACTAATAATTAAATTTCGCGGGTCTGGAGTGTCTGATTGTCAAAATTTTTTTTTATTGTGTTGATATACATGCCCCTAAAGTATGATGAAATTTTCAGCTATATTCACTGTTTACTTTGTCTGTGGTAGTCGCTAAGGTTCGACGTGTTTTTCTGATCTCGGCGATTTTTACAATGGAAGAATTGAAAAGTCAAAGAATTTGTATTAAATTTTGCGTAAAAAATGAAATAAAGTGTTGCAAAGTGCAAAAATTCACCAGATATGGCTCCGTGTGACTTTTTCCTATTCCCAAAGTTGAAGAGACCCATGAAAGGACGGCGGTTTTCCTCGATTGAAGAAAATCGCTGAGAGTGCTCAAGGACATATCAAAAAGTGAATATCAAGGGTGCTTCGAAAATTGGAAAAAACGCT